AATCGGGCTTGTATGGACTATATAAAAATTTTTAGTAAATTTTATATTATATGTATATTTTAGAGACATTTTCGTGTATTAAATTATTCCATGTAATAAATAAAAATTATTTTGTATTAAGTTTCAAATTATATTTTACATTCACTTTTGTATTAAACCCTGTATTAAAAGAAAAGAAAAATAAAATTTAAAAAAATTTTTTCCTCGTATCTCCACCTTACAGAGGCATTTGCCGGATGAGATTTGAGTACTCTAATGAACCTAAGAGCTATGCCGGCAGTAATGTATAATACGTCGATATTCATATATGTAGACTATTTTTATATTTAAAACAATCTTAAGTATGATCTTAGATCGCGTCTTGAGATTCCGATCAGTTAGTAAAATAGTTGTATTTTCCAACTTACTTAAGACGATCTTAAATATAAGAATGAATTATGAATGCCGGCCTTAGGGTTACCTATGCCGAACAAGTCGAAGGGAAAGAGTCAGATTAAGAAAGATATCAAAATTATATATATGTTATTTTTAATTATATTAATATTTTTGAATAAAATAAAAGAAAAAGAGACAGTAATTGAGAAAATAGAAAAAAGACAACTACAGTGATTTGAATATCTCAAATCCTTTCTCCTCCTCTTTCTCTCTTTCTCTCTCTCTGAGTGATTTGAATATCTATACTCGAGAGAACAAATGTCCATAGAAAATATTTCGATGGACTCCATAGAAAGGAATAAGCATGACAAATGATGATAATCCCTATGATTTTAACACCAAGGAATATACAATAAACCATAATAATCCAAGAACTCGAAGAAGAAAATCATAGATAATAAAAATAGATAATAGAAATGCATAATGATTGGAAATGATTAGAAATTAAAAGACAGTATGAATACAACCTATTTATTAATAGTAATACTATTTTGTGATTATATTAAATTTTATAATTTAGTAAATTGTATTATATAAAATATTAAGCATAAAAATATTATGCTGATAAGAAAATTATAATAAAAGTATATAAATAATGTTGACTATATTAGAATGGAACATATAAATTCTTTATATTTTATATAAAGGAAGAGATATTTAAAATATTTTGCAACTATATTTTTCGAATCTTAATTATAAAAACTTTAAAACAATCAGTGATTAATTTGACAAATTCTATACATGTATTAATAATTAAATAAATAATAAATAAATAAGTAAATAATTAATAATATAATAACTTTTTTAAATAATTAAAAAAGTGATTAATAAATATCAAAGATCAGTTTATTGCTAATTAAGATTTATAGAAATAATTAAAAATATATTTATTCCACAGCAGGCATTTTGTGTTTTGTAAATAAAATATATAAACATGGCAATGAATATAGAAAAATATTTATTTCATCTTTGAACATTGCATTGGAAGGTTACAGTATCTTTCACGATTGCATAATTTATTTACTATCAATTTATATTTACATGAATGTCTTGTTATACTCTGGTGCTACCGGCATTTCGTGCACATAGCACGGAACGAAATCAGAAATTGTACACACGATACTTCTGAGAACATTCATGGACATTGGCTTTGTAGTTCATGTCCACGTTTTCAATGTCCATAGAGGGAGTATCGCTTTCAGGGATCACCTAAAAGCAGGCCATGACATATCTCAGTTTTCTCTCTGGTAGTATACGAAATGCCTGTGGACACGAAATGCCATCAGTGATGTATAACAAAACGCATATGTATATAAATATAAATAAATTTTTAATTTTAATTTTTTAAATAAATTTTGTGGTCCTCTCTCTCTCCCTCTCTCTCTCTCTCTCTCTCTCTCTCTCTCTCTCTCTCTCTCTCTCTCTCTCTCTCTCTCTCTACACATACATTCTGGTTCGCTTCTTCGTTCGGTATATATAAATATTTAACGAATTAATCGAACGATTGCATTCGACTTGCCATTTTACTCGCCGCGTTACAGTGAATATCGCGCGAAAGAAGCAGGCAACATGCGCGGCGTCGTGCACGATTTCGACCGTCCGCGCGCAGACGAAAAACGGCCAATTTATATCTCGACTTCTGGACGTGATAGCGATTTCGTTTTTTTTGCATAAAATTCTACACCATTTCGCGGCACTACCGTTTAAATCTCGTCCCGATCGCCCGAGGAGCGGCTGACTTACAGTGAATATCCGAAATCTGCTTTTCAATTTTCCATAAGAAGCAAGATCCACATCCATATTATTTAGCGTTTTTAAAAAAATACAAAGCGAAATATAATTTTACGATTTCATATAGGCTTGTAACTTTTATACAAGATAAGATTCATCTTCCATCATTGCCCGGTGCTTTCGACGCGAAACGATAATAACAAAATTTCGCTTCGTAGAAAGTTGCAAATCTGTAGTATATGTGGGACTACACAATTATATACTTCATTTCGTATCTAAAGCACCGAGCAATATGAAATGGACTTCGCATCTCACGGAAAGTTACAAACTCATGGAACTGTACTATTATAGATTCGTTTCGAGAGCATCGGTCGGTATGGAATAAACTTCGCTTCATGTGGAAAGTTACAAATCCATGTAGAATCATATAATTATAGATTCGTTTCACTAAAAGCTTCAAGTGATGCGAGCTGAATCTCATTTTACGTAGAAAGCTGCAAATCCATGTAAAGCCTTTTTCTCGTATACATACTTTTAATAACCGTTTATATAAATATCTCAAAAATTATATTATACGGGTCCGTCGATTGACATAAACAAATGTATTAATCATTATTAAAGAAAAAATTAATATAATAACATTTTAACTTAATATTATTCCGCATCTTTACGATAGATGTCAAAGTCAGGATCATCAGAGAGAGGTGTGTTTGTTAATAATTAATTACATATACTTACAAGTATTTCAAAATTCCAAACACCCTTTTCATATATATTCCGCTGTAAAATAAGACTGTAAATTTTAATTCCTTACCTCTTACTTTTGTTCTTCTTCGCCTTTCTTGCAACTTATACGTGTTAAATATCATGAAAGAAGAGACGTTATAAAATAATATGGCAAACTTGTTTTTGTTCCTTCTCTCCATATTGGGTTTATATATTCAAGTAATTTTTTATTATCTTTCCCATATATTTGGCTTTATTTCGATTGATGCTTTAGTTAATTGTAAATTCATTCGATAAATTTTCTATAATTTGAGTAAAGTTAATTTTTTTAACAACATTGATTATTTATAACTTTTAATAAAATCACAATTTTTTTAAACGAAACGATTGAATCATAATTTACTTATTTCTGAATAGAATAAAAAAATAATTGGATCAATGACTTTTGAGAAAAGGTACATAAAATATAAAAAATATATGATTTTGTAGAATAACGTTTTAAAAATTGTATAAAATAAATTAACGTTTAAAAAAATTGTATAAAATATTGTTACAAATTTAAAAAGTTAATTATTAAAAATATAGTTTAAAATGTTGAGGAAATTATTTATTTTTATCCTTATATAAAAGAATTTTGATATTTTCATTTTAAAGCATATTCTTCTTCTTAATCATATATTCATTTTTGTTTCAGCTTTTTCATCTTTCAAATTTTTATGTGTTGTTCTTAAGTTGTTTTATATTGTTATTCTTATTATACTTTTAGACTGAGCATTATACCAGTATATTAGTTTTGTATTCCCATCTTTTGCTGTGTTAGTATTACTATCAAATTCTATCTGTATATTCATTTTACATACTAAAGACTATTATTTTCTTAAAAAATAATTAATACTTGATTGCTGGGTAAAAATTCATTTAATCTTTGTTACTAAATAGAATAACGCGATATAAAACTGAAGTTTGAATGTTCTAAAATTAAATTACGATATAGCAAGTCATCTCAAATATGTATATAATATATAATATATATATATATAACTTTGTTTATTTATTTGATATATAATATGATAGTCGTATAAGTTAAAATGTTCAATATATACTTTTTGAATATATATACAAACTATTTAAATAACATTCGGAATACACAGTCGGACATAAAATTCGGATACTCGACAGATATCTCCTACGCTGTGCGCAAATGGTATAATAACGATAATTATAGCTTAATCATGATAATAAGAAATATACAGTCGATATTCGGCCGGGAAGGCAGGTGGAAGGAGCTTTAGCTAACGCGAAAAATTCTTTAGTGTTGATTGCATAAAGTTCTTATTTTTTTCACCTGTCTTTCTCTTTTTTAGCGTTTACATTTTCAGCTTTTGACATTTGCCTCCTATTTGTTGCTTTTATGCAATTTCTGTGGATCGAGGATGACAATAGAAAACTTTTAATGGAGATTATGTCGCGCTTCGTAAAACATCTGTTAGACGTAAAAATAATTCCAAGACAACGCAAGTGCTTCATAGCTAAAAAAAAGTCTAAAAAATATTCAAAGAATATCTTTGAGGGATTAGAAGATTTCTTTTAGACGCCTTTTTCAGACAGTTTGCGCTGTCTAGGATGTCATTGTCATTTAGGCACTATTTTCCGGTGATAAAAAAAAAGATTTTTAGTACCGAAAAATTTTCGTATCTAAAATGACTGTTTCGGAAATTTTGTTTGTCCATAAAATATTTTCCGATTATTGCATTCTGTTCGGAATTTGTTTTGCAAACAGCCTCTACATACATACACATTTTGCCATTTTTTATTTCAAATATTCCTATGTTAGTTTCCATACATATTATACAGAAATGCAGTTCTCGCAAAAGTTATCGATGTTTTTCCCCTATATTCCGTTTTAAAATTCCCGTAAGCAATTTCTGTTTGGTGCTCATTCTTTAAATAGCCCAACACAATTCGATTGCGTCGATCCGCGATATAATCGGATAATATTGCGTTTTCAGTTTCTTGATGTCAACTGATTAATTTTTTTATCGTGCGTTTGGAGAATATCTGTATTTCAAAAATCGTCTCGGAGAATATCTTGATTATCTCCTAAATAATAAGAGCTCTAACAACATCTTCGATTCCTAATCCCATGTTTAATTGTCTCTTAAAAAAAATCACACTTTCGAATTGCAACTCTTAGACTCCTCTCCCGATAACTGGCGATGTCAATTGACATGTCTACGATCACCGACGCTGCGAACCTTTCAGATCTGAGGCGAGAAATTTCGAGGCAAGACTATCGCGTTCAGCAGCAACCGCTTTATCATCCGTGCGAGCCGCGGCACACGTCACATGAAAACGTTATCCAAGGCGGGCATGTTCTTCCGGGTGGGCGTCGAGGTAACGCCGAGCCCCTCGTCCTCGAAGGTGACCATTTTCTCGCGGCTTCTCGTGGCGGTGTTGCAGCTGCCGCCGCTGCTGCCGTCCAGCAACCGAGTCTGGCTGGTAGCGACGACGGTCATCCCAGCAGCGACCGGCGGCGTCATCGCCGAGGAGGGCCTAAGCACTGACGCGGGTGGCGGAGGCGGCACCGCCATGTCCGTCACGGCAGCCGCGAGATTGAACTCGCTAACGCTACGCGGCACAAAGTACTCGAAATGCAACGAGCTCTCCTGCTGGCAATGTTGTTGGTGATGGTGCGGCGGTTGCTGATGTTGCTGCTGTTGATGATGATGCTGCGTCGGCGACAAGCAACTTCTTCTTAACGGCTGGCCCCGTTGGAACTGCTGTTGCTGAGCGTTGGCGCCCGAACACGAGACGTTGCTCGTCGTCGTTCTGCTCGCGACGTCCAGCGGCAACGTCTTCTTCCGCGGCAGCGTGTGATGACCGGGCGACAACTTCATGGCAGTGTTAGACGGATGGACCAGGAGCTTGCCGTCGCCGGGGCTCCTGGCCTGATGCTGTCAGGAGGCGGCCGGCACCATCGACATGGCGATCGCCTCCTCCTCTTGCTCGGACAGTCGCGAGTCGCTGGTGCCGCCTCCGTCGTCGAGATCGGCCTTGAGACCGGAAGCGGGGCCTGCTGCAAAAAAGGAAAGAGACCGTGATGCGTGTCTCACGATGGTCAATCGCCTCGGTTATTTAATTCTTTTCCGATCGTGCTTTCTTGCGGAAATTCTCTCGTTTCTTCGATCGCGTGGATTGACGACGGTAATTACGGTACGTTCAAAATTGTTACGCATCACGCTAATAGTCATGCCCGACCGTAATATGTACATCGAATTAATTAGTTGTTATAGGACAAGTTTTTCTTTTCGGATTTAACCGACGCGCGACAACCGACAAAAAGGATGAGCGATTTCTCACGATGCTCTCTTTCTTTTTTGCGAGACATTCACGCTACGGATTCCCCACCGAATGCCTTCATCAGGGATACCTGTACCACCGATAGGTCCGACCATCACGCCCGACGACATGCCGCAGGTTCTACCGAAGACCCTGACCACGCGTACCACCTCCTCCTGGACGAGGTTGAAGCACATGGCGATCAGGCCCATCCCGGCGAGGATGTAGAGCGAGCAGGCGCACAGACTGAGCTCCTCCAGGGTGGCCGAGGCGGCGTTGCGTCCCACCGGCATCAGGTCGCCGAAGCCGATCGTGCCGAGGCTGGTGAAGCAGAAGTAGCCGCCCTCCAGCAGACTCCAACCCTCCAGACGGTTGAACATGACCGCGCCGCCGCATATGTACACCAGCATTATCGCCAGACACAGGCTGATTGGTATCCTGACCGGATTCGTCTCCAGCACGTACGCCGGCGACGAGGTCGACGATAAAGACAACGAGCACGGATGAAAGTGCCGTTTTCCGTTGCCCGTTGTAATATCCTGAAAACGATTTAATACAACAGATATTTAATAATTATAATAAAATCAATATAACAGGCACAATCAATCCGTTGGAGAGAACGAGATTTATATAATAAAGAATTATGATATATATAATATGAAAAGAGAAAGAGAGAGATTTTAGAGAGTTTTTTTTGGAAATTTTAGACAAAATTTCTCTTGAGAAAGATATCTTCTATAGATCGAAAAATTTTTGAGTTTCTCATTTAAATCCTACGTTAAATCCTACGTTTCATTAGAAATTGATGTAAACTTTTGGTTCGCTTAGTTTACTCATTAAAAGCTCTCTAGTTTGCCTTCGTTGTTCATTTATATGCTAAATCGGCCTATCGAGTTCTTGAAGTTTGAGTTTTTTGTCGTGGCTTTCTTTTTAATGAATTACAATTTAGTGAATTTACATAGCAGTGAGTCTCTTTTTTCAGAATGTTACATTATCTACATGTTTCTGCAAGTTTGCAAATGTTTCATTTCCATGTATTTATTATTTCTCTCATGCAATTAAGAAGATTAAAATAAATCAATTAAGAAGATTAAAGCAAATCAACGAATCTCATACAATCTACTCCATTTTCAATGCTAATGTTTTAGCAATATGAGTAAATGTGTCGCATTGAAAATCTTAAAAAAACATATTTTATATAAATATGTATTGTTAAATATTATTATAAATATAAGTGAAACAAAAATATATAATTCATATTTTATATTTTACCATTTTTTAAATTCAATAAGAATTCATAATAATATAATAATATTATTACGGTATTTTTTTCCACATTTTTGCTAGACTGATTTAATCATATAATTCAACTTAAAAGAACTTCTCTCTCTCTCTCTCTTTCTTCTCCTGATTTACGATGATTATCCACATTACTTGAAGCGCGGCCGTCGAGCTAGTAGTGGCGTGCAAGAGACCCTCGCTGCCACAATCGAGCAGAATCGCGCTGCCGGCGCCGCGGATACCCAGATCGTCGCAGGAACTCTCCCTGCTCGCCGAGTAGTAGTTGCCGCCCTTGGTCTCCACGTGATTGTCGTAGCGATACGCTTTGGCCATTATGCCGCCGACCGGCGGCGGCGGCGGGGGTGGCTGTCGCTTCCTGGTGCAGTTGCGCGGCCGCCGACACATGCGTCCGTAAAGACGGCGGAAGCTACGGGCGAGCACGTCGCCCACCGTGCTGAGGTAGACCAGCATCAGCGGGATCCCCGCCAGGGCGTAGACTATGGTTATCAGTCGGCCCCAGACTGTGCGCGGTGCAACGTTACCGTATCCTGAAAATATTTGATCAGAGTTTAACTCGAGATTTAAATCATATATAAATATAAGCGAATTTGTGTGACAAGTCGAGATGATTTTTTTTCTTTATTCGATTTCCGTAAAAAATAAAGAAATGGATTAAATTTGGACAAACCTATGGTCGTGATCAGCGTCAGGGAGTACAGTAAGCTACTGCTAAAGGTCCATCGTCGACCATGTAGGCGTCTGTCCGCGTGATGTTCCCGTGATCGCGGTGACAATGGTGGCACCTGCTCGTACGAGGTACGTCTTAGTCCACGGGCTAGGTTTTCCTGAAACTCGAGGACTTCCCGGGCTGCTAGGCGGGTCCAGTTCTCCTTGTAAAGAACGTTGAGATCCTCGGTGATGCTCCAGAGTTTCTCGACCGTACGCGCCCTCAATTCCATGGCGGCGGAATCGTTTTCCAGATTCGGCAACACGTAGGAACCACCGTCAGGTTTCGAGGACGCGATCTCGGTGGGTGAATCCTGTGTAAAAACGACATGGAACTGATTATACTTAATAATTCAATAACAAATTTTTGTCTCCAATCTTGAGAAGAGAATAAATATCTTAATCTTTTTTAATGTGAAATATAATTCTAATCTCCATAATGCGATATTGAAAAATTTTAAACAAAACAAAGTATGAAGAAAAGGAATCAGCTTAATGTAATTAATCATGCTATAGCATATGATGGATTGAGAAAAAATTATTTTATCGAATTAAGGATATTGTCAGAAAATTCAGTTATCTTAAAAATAATTTGCTCTAAGAATTAATAAAATTTACGCGATTAAATATTGCCATCTTTTGCAAAAAATTGAACTGAATAATATTTATGTAACATTATAAATTAAACCGAAATTAAATTAAACCGAAATTAAATTGAATCGAATAATATTTACGTAACATTATACCTTATAACATTACATTATTATAACATTTTACAATTGTTTCTTTAAACTTCATGTTTTTTTAGTTCAACTTTTTCAATATAAATCTGATGACAAATATAAATTGATGAAATATAATCAAATGTCAAACTTTCATGCAAAAATTTACATGTAGAGTTTTTAAAGTTATTAAATATAAATTCGCTATTAAAATTAATGAATACAATGGTGATCATTTAGTATAAGCTCCATGTAAATAAATAATCTCTTTAAGCTTCTTGCGATATAATAAATTTAACATTTTGAATATGAGAATCATTTATTAACTTTAATCTTCACAACGAATTTCTGAAAATTAAAATTAAAATTGAAAATTAAATACTTATTATCAAAAAATAATTATTTCTTTTTTGAATTTTTTTGTATCTTTACTATTCGCAATTCGCATGAATTAACGAATCGAAATACTTGAGAAATGATTATATCAATTATCTGTTTCAATTCCGGTTAATCAAATTTTTCTTTAAATGACATTAAGCGATTAGCGCTCGTTAAACATGAAAATTTTGCATTTCCACGTATATAATTATCCTCAATTAATAATTAAACTCTTTTTTTATCTTCTTCAATTATGTTCTAAAATAACCACGTTCTACAATTTCGCGATTGAATCTATCGAGCAGACAAATTCCGACGGTCGAGATCGATGAATCGCGATCGCGTCTCGATTAAAATCCCACGGCTCGCGTAAATCATGTCATTCGTATCTTCGGCAATTAGAATCACACCGAGCGATTTAATCAACGGTTGTCGCTCACCGATTTGAAGCCTCCCTCGAGGGCCATGAAGGCGAACGCACCGAGCAGGGTGTAGCCGAGAACGAGCACGCACACGCCGAGACTCGCCAACAACCCCGGAGTCTTCGTGGAGGTGGCGGTGCTGCAACTGCAGCAGCAGCAAAGCAGCTCCGCGCCGCGCACCGTGCTGCTGGCGTTATTGTTGTTATTATTATTGCTGCTGCTTCTGCCAGGACAGCATCTCGGCGCCCGCTGATAATAACTGTCGCCGGCGTTCTGCATCGCTGATTAAGATCGCGATTCCCCGTCGCCGTCGTCGCCGTCGCCGTCGCTGCCGCTGCCGCCGCAGCTGCAGATGCAGCGAACGATGACGCCGCCGCAGCTGCAGCCGCAAGCGGTAACGTTCTAACGTCGTCCTACCGTCGTCGCGCCATCCATCCGCTGCGGGGAGGTTGCCCGATCTGCGATTACAACGCATGTTTTTAAATGCATTTATATGTACGTCACAATTATGACGGATTATAATTAGATTTAGATCAGATTCGGAGCAGATATGCTGGCCAATCAATAGCTTCGCTCTGCAAATAATCCCCGAGTGTTGTACAGAGTATTTGGGTAGAGGTGAACAATCTCTCGTGGATATGTAGAGCAGGTAAAAGTAATCTCATAAGTTATCATAAATTTTTTTGCTACAATTCACATTCGTTTATCTTCAATCAAATGTGTTCTCAAAAATAGTTATTCTTGACAAAATTAAATAAGAGTACCTTTATTTTAGAAAAAGGTATGGAGGAAAAAATCTAAAAATATATTTAAAAATATATTTAAAAGTATATCAAACTTACTATCTTTAAAGTTTTGTAAGTTGGAAGACTGATGAATGTCAAGCGCTTGATGTGGCATCAAGAAATCTGTCACTTCAAAGACACTTTTATTTAACGGAAAAATAATTATTAAAATGTACAAAATAATAAAAGTTATTTTTAAAAAATACCTGTCAAATTTTAAAGAGAAATATATTTCGGTTGAAATGCATTGTAAAAAAAGACTTTATAGGAAATGGAGTT